TTACTCTTTTTTTTTTACAAAAAAAACATTTAAAAAGGTAAATTTGCAAGCTTTCATAAAACTGAGGAGAGTCATATATCATGTACCAAATTATCTAGACTTTTAAAGAAATTCAGGCTATGGTGACATTTCACCTCTAAATACTCCACCATGCATCATTAGAAAATAAGGAAATCTTTTCCTAATCATGTTATCATTAAAGCCTCCTTATATAATCCTCAATATCTAAAAATCAGTCCAAATTCAGATTTGTCTGATTGTCTTCAGATGTTACTGGTATGTCTAAATCAGGATCCAAGCAAGATCTGCATGTTGCTTTCAATTGTGTCTCTTAAGATTCTTTTAAAAAGCATTTTTCACAGAGTTTCAGATTTACAGAAAAGTTAGAATGGTATAAAGAATTCCCATATACATCCTTTACCCAGATTCTTTAGTTCTTAACATTTTTTTAACTACATGTGATTTATCCTCTTTTATCTCTATACATAAAAACTAACTAAATTGCTTGAAAGTACTTTGTAGATATGATACCTCTTTACCATTACATACTCTATTGTATATTTAGTAAGAATAACAAAATGGTCTTATAGAGACACTAAGATGATCAAACAGAAGCAATTGACTTTGACAGAATACTGTTATCTAATCTCAGGCTTAATTCAGATTTCATCATTTGTTCTGATAATATTCTCTCTATTTGAGAGAGAGAGAAACATTGATTTGTTTTCCACTTATTTATACATTCATTAGTTGATTCTTGTATGTGCCCTGACTGGGGATAGAGCCCCCAATCTTGGTGTATCTGAGCTATGTGGCCAGGGCTGGAAATGTTGTTCTTGTGTGTAAGAAGATTCTGACCTCAATGACCTGAGTTAGGCATATTAAATAGCATAGATGGAAGAGGTTTTCATGCATTTGATGGTTACATTTTTTAAAAATACACTTTTATTGATTTCAGAGAGGAAGGAAGAGGAATAGAGAGATAGAAACATCAATGATGCGAATCATTGAGCAGCTGCCTCTTGCACCCCTCCCCCCCCACTGGGGTTCAAGCCCACAACCCAGGCATGTGCCCTTGACTGGAATCTCACCTAGGACCCTCAGTCCACATGCCAACGCTCTATCCACTGAGCCAAACCAGCTAGGGTGGTTTTCATTCTTTAGGCAAGTTCTTTTACTTGAGCTTAAAGTTTAGTTGCATAAATTGACCTGGAATTGTGGTCCATGGGCAGATCAGGAAACACTGGGAAAGTTTGGTTTTGGAAAGGTTTGGTATAGAATGTTTGAGAGAGAGAAAGAGACTGTGTCTTTGAACCAAGTCTTCTGCACATTGAGGAGAGAAATGTGTGCCTCCTTTTCATTGTACCTTCTATTTCCCTTTAGGGTAAAGAGAATTTTTGATGATACTGACCATATACCATCTGTTTGTATTAGCTATCCCAGATTGCTCACTCAGCAAACTGTTAACATGTTGGTCAGGTTTGTTAGAAAGCTTTAGCAATATTGTTGTGTCCGTGATGCCCCTAAAAATAGGAATTAAAATAGCGTTACTTAGGATTACATGGTTCCATGTTACATGGTATTGATGATTCTAGTCTCTACCTACTTTAGTTAGGCAAATTAAAGAGCAGAATTGGAAGTTTTTAAGTGTGATTCCTTTGTCAGAAAAATGAAAAAAAGGCATTTCAGTATCTGAGTAAGTTAAGCACTCAAGAGACCACTTATCTATTATCAGTAGTCAAAAGAAATTCACACCCAGAGTTTCAGCCAACGTTTAGGACAGCTGAATTAAGCAGATAATAACATGAAAATACAAAAAATTCTAACCTTGAGATGTGTTGTTTGTACTAATGGTATCTATTGAGCCTTTACTATGTGTCAGGCATTGTTCTAAGCACTTCATATTAAATCCTCACAGCCATGGGATAGCTACTATCACTTCAGATGTTTCAGATGAGGAAATATATACAGAGATAACTGATTTGCCTATGCCCTATTTAAGTGGCAAAACTGGGATCTAACCTAGGCGTTTTAGCTCTGATGCAATCCACAGAACCAGTTAATTCTGTATGGCGCTTGCATTTTATAATCAAAGTTATACATTTAGACAGTAATTGTCTTCTTGAATGAAGAACCTTCTTTGTTGTCCAAATTACGGGGAATCTGAAATGACATTTCTCACTAACAACTAAGACTGCAGTTAGTGTCTTACTTTTATCCCCAGGCATGTTCATCTAAATTGGGGGGAGGGCAAGAGGGAAAAGGAAATACTTTCATATCATTTATAACCTGTAACTCTTAGGGCACTTTAGAGTTTTGGGTTAATTGATTAATGATAAATCTGTTACTTGCTTTTTGGAATCTAAACTCGGCATAAGTGTTCAGTCCTAAAGTTGTGCCACTTGTAGGCCAGTGTCAAAATCTAGTCTGGAAACCAAATGAGTTATAATGTTTGGGTGGTTTTCTCTAACAAAGGAGGAATTGATAAATTGTATACTTTCGTGCATGTCCCATTAGTGTTTCTGTTTGTTTTTAAGGGAGGATGGAAATATGCAAAGGTTATCTCATGGATGGAAAAGTATCTAATTGCTGGGACGGGGAGGTACTACTAGAAACATGGAATGGGTGACTTTTCATAGTATATGCCCTTTTGAACAGTTTGAATAATTTGCTGTATACATGTAATAAGTAATCACTTTTTTAACCTAAATTTATTGACTTCATATTCTTCTTATTTTGTACCAGCAAAATAAAAGTTCTTTGAAGTTAAACACAGTTTTTATCATAGAAACTTCCAAGCACATCTCAAAATAGAGTATCTCGAAGATCAGCAAGAGCAACATTTTGCCAATTGAGAAGATAAAATGTGTCCGTATTTGGATGTCATTATTGTATTCTCTGAAAATAGCTGCAGGTTCAGAAACTTACAAATCCTCTGAATTTATTTGTGGTTTGACCCAGAGTCTGTAATTCAGGGCACTATTTTACTTGTTCTGAAACACTAGGGCTTTAGCTGTGACAATTGAAGCTCAAAATTGCCTTAGATAGTGACAAAAACACAGAATTCTTATTTTACAGAGTAGTTTAGAATATAACATGTTGCTTTTACATATGTATTTATAGGAGGTTTATGAACTACTGGAATATTTTCTCCAGTTATTGAGAAGGAAACTATTGAGGGTGCTCTACTTAGAAAATTAGATATATACACCTCTCCTAAAACGAGAGAGACACCCACACAGTCCCTTTGCATGTATCGGGATATTATTTAATGGTTTATCTTCCTCCATTAGTTTTTTAAACTAAAGGTCACTAAAGCTAGACTCAAGAAAAAAATGAAAATAAATAACTCATAAAGTTTTATTGTAACCAAAGTCATTATAAGTTATATATCTCACAGCTTGTATACTTGCCATGCATGGCAGCATATACTTGAGCTTGTAAAACTAGTTAATCATCTACTTTGTTACCATGCTTGTAATTAATAGTTAGACAATTGCTTGACTCCTTGCCCTGGTGTTCAGATTGGTTGTGCCTGCAATCACTGAGGTATAGGACGGGAGTGAAAGTAAAATCCAGTCTCTTAGTCTTAGATTGTATCTTACTCAGATCCCACTCTGGTTATAATTAAGCATTATAGCAGAAGAATTTGACAAAAGAATTTAGATGGAATACAGTTAACTTGGCTTAGCCAGTCCAGAGAGCGTAGTGACAGCGGTGGTCTCTGGGAAGGGAAATTGGTATCTGGGGGGCAATGGAAGAAGAAAGACTTGATTTTTCCCCCCTGTGATTTTTTTTGTTTTGTTTGTATTTTGTTCCCTGTGAATTACCTATTGGGGGTAGGGAGTGGGGGAGAGACTAGTCTGGCTAAGGCTAATAAAGTCTTCAGGCAGCTTTTTAGTGGGACTTAATCTGTTCTAATACTTTTAGACACCCTGAGTATTAACAACCCACTCTGGTAGAGCTCTCCTTCTAATAGGTGCCTTTTGTTTTTATACCCTTAATTTGGTTTTAAAGACCTATCATCCTTAGATCCTCTATACTTTTTTAGCAAATACTTGAATACCTTCTGAGTACACACAGCAGATCTGATTCCATTATTTTCCTTGTTAAAATCCTTAAGTAGCTTCCTTTGCCTAAAAAATAAATTCAGGGTTCTCAGTGGGGTACAGTTAGCTTATCAGTCTGGCCCTTGCTTATCTTTATAGCCTTAACTTACTACCATGTTCATAGTCTATACTCCCAGTGTTACAGAAGTACTTTGTAGTTCCCATAGCAGACCATACTTTCACATCGCTTGGTTTTAGCATATGTTCTTCTGTCCAGCGTTCTCCCTTGAACACATTCCCTTAGCTGGGGGTCTTTGACAGGGTCCCTCCTTCACTTGTTTTGGCACTTTTTGCAAAATACTGTAACTTTGTTTACTTGTCTGTCTGCTTTTGTTAATCTAAGTTCCCTTAGATCGAAAACTGTAAAATTTTAAATTTCATTCTTTTCATTCTGTGACTTAATTTTCAGATTTTGAAGTTTAATGTAAGTGAACAAGTAATTACTAACTGTTAAAGGGAGAAAGAGAGGACAGTTCAAAGATCTTAAACTGAGAAACATTGATGACTAAAAGTTCTCGAACCATAAAGCCTAGCCAGATATAATTCTTTCCTTTCCTGTTTATTCTGCCGCTTAGTTATAACCACAAGGTTATACACCTCTAGTTGTAACTATAAGGTTATAGCAAAAACAACTGAATGCCATATTTGTTGGAGAACAGGTGGTCGGTCCATTATTTGGCTATCCATTGCCTCATTTGAATAGTGTAATGTATTTTCACTGTTGACTTAAAGCATTTCTGGTTAAGTGAGGATTTGTAGTGACGATAATACAATAATATTAAAGCATTACTGGTTAAATGAGGATTTGTAGTGACGATAATACAATAATATCAAGCCTGTCTAATTCACTTTGTAACATGGTTTATTAATGTTTGTTTGTTTCTCCTCTAGCTCCAGAACCTGGGTATAAACCCAGCAAACATTGGCTTTAGTACCCTGACTATGGAGTCAGACAAATTCATCTGCATTAGAGAGAAAGTAGGAGAGCAAGCTCAAGTGGTAATCATTGATATGAATGACCCAAGTAATCCAATTCGAAGACCAATTTCAGCAGACAGCGCCATCATGAATCCAGCTAGTAAAGTAATTGCATTGAAAGGTATAAAAGATTGTGGGTTTCTTTTTCTTAAAACTCTTTCTATGTATAATTTATTCAAATACAATAATTAGGAGCTCTTTAGTATTTTGATTTGGTTAAATAAAGCTACAAAGTTAAAGCTTTTACTGAATTTGATTTTAACTATTGTCCTGGCTTTTACTTGGACTGTTTCTATAAAATGTCTTTCTGTTCAGCATAGATCTTGGGAAAAAATAAATAAATTTAAAATTTATGCCCACAGTGTGATAAGACTGCTTTAAAAAGAATAACACCACATATTTTGCTAATATTAGCACTTAAGCATTGCAGAACTTTGTTATGATTATAAATTTGCTGTTCTTGCTGTGCCCTTTTTATACTTGTGTTATACTTAAGTTATAGAGTTTTAAAAATGGCTTGAATTTACAAGTGTGTCTATATATAGGTGGGTATTAAAGCTTTGAAATCACGGGTGTTAGAGTTTATTCAGACTAACTTTTTAGTTGTCATCACAGGGAACACAACAATCTGTTAGTCTAAATAGAGTTTAAAGAACCTCACATGGGTTGGGAGCCTATATTAATTTTTTTCCTTTGAGCTATAAAGTGAGAATGTAATTGACTCTTTTAAAACAGAAGTTTCTAAGAGGAGTTAGTGACAAACTGGATGACTGAAAAAGGCATTTAACTGCTTATTCTTTGCTTGTTTTTCTTCTTGGTATAGTAGGAAGAGTTCCAGTTTCTAGTAATATTATACCAGGTATTTTATGTCTTTGGAGCATATATGTAACTTTTATAATAATCTTATGGCATAAATACAATTATCTTTATATAAGGAAACAGACCTTGCTCAAAATCACATAGCTGTCACCCCAATAAATGCAATTAAAAATTTAAAAATCATATAGCTAATCATTGGAGAACTAAGTCTATAGATAGAGCCATTCAGTGCTAAATAGTGTGTTACCTAAATGGTGTACAAGCACTGTTTCCAACCCCATCTCTAGCAGGCTGACTTTGGATAAGACATAGAGATATGCAGGAAGTCTACTTTTTATTCATTTGTAAAGTGAGAGGATTGGGTTGGGTAGTTTTCCAGTTCTTTTTAGCTCAAAATCCTAGTAATTTCTAAATGAGTTGTTAAAAGTGCTGAAGTTTTTAAACAGACTTCTTTTTACATGATTTAAACTTCGTATTTAGTATTAATACTTGTTGGAGATTAAATGAGGGGAGGGAGAGGGCCAAGCATATTCAAACAGATGTCACCATTCCATGTCTAAGATTAGAGTTGATCTCACCCCAAGGAAAGATTATCTATCCAGCTTTCACCTGGGCCCACATGTTTTTCAATAGTGAGCTTTTTGCTTCTATTAAACAATACATATTATACTTTAAAATATTAATTTCCCTTCAGCTTCCTTAAAGAATTTAAATTCAACTGCTTAATAGCTCTCACACTTTTATTAAAAGCCCATCATTTAAATTTTCTCAGCATTCTTTTCTATTTTTAATGTTGTTGTTATCTTATCACATTTCTTAATGCTTTCTTATGTGTGCAGATGGTGAGTTATCTTAAATTAGATTGTATTAGTTGTTGTCCTGTCTTATAAAAAGAATAAGTTGGAAATATTTCCAGAGCATTGTGCAATAATAGCATTATAGATTTGTGCCCATATGTGTACACTATAGAGTTAAACTGTCATCCCTTTCCCTTCTCCCCAAATCTCTTATATAAATGTACTGTACTCCAACCACTTTTATGTAAAAAAAGAATGAAAGTCTAACTAGGGGTTGGGGAAGGCAGCAAAGGAAAGTAATTTCCAAATACTGCACGTCCTTGAATAATGTCATTTGGTTGTAAGATTGATGAGCTGCCATAGGAATTTATCTCAAAATCAGTTAGCCTGTGGTAAAATTGGTTTCCTTATTTGCTGTTTTCCTTAAAGTCACAGAACCTATTGAGGCCTTACACTTTTGAAGCCAATTTTAAATCTTGGTTTCTTTTTATAAACAGGACTATAACTCTCACAATTATTCAAGTCTGGTTGTGTTTTATATATTGTGTTTTATGGAAGAAGTTCTTACACATGTGGTAAGAAGGGTCATGGTACAAAGCCATATGTTTTGTGTCCTGTCCCATCTCCTCTCCCCCAACCCCCATACGCCCATAATTTTTGTTCTTTAGGATCCAGATTCTCTGTGGCTCAGGAATGGAGTTTTCCTTAGTCTCTAAGGACTAATCTGGATTAGATAGCCTAGTGATATCTGTGGGCTTTGACCTCTATTAATTTAAACCAAATCACTTTTTGGATCGTGATGGAATTTCAAATTATAAATACCAGTCTTTGCATCTGATTCAGTGACCGCTTAACACACTCAAATTTCATTCTTTACCAAATGTTTGCTGTCTTCATTGGATGGAGTTTGAACTTTGTTCCTAACTGCAGTATATTAACAGCATCTGAAACTGTCCTCCTTTGTCTCCCTCTCCTTTCCTCTAGCATCTCTACTACCTTTTCCTTTGTATCTTACACCAATTAAATGTAGCATGCATTTCCCTTATGTTCTCCTGGTGCAAGGCAGAGTTGAAGTAGGTCCTCTTTCAAAAAGCAGTTTCCACAAGATTTAGTTGAATAGGGGATGACTGCCTTTCAGAAAGCAGTCATTTTTTCCCATGTGTTTGTGTCAGATTTGCTTTGTTCTTTGTACCTACAACTAACGTAGTTAATTTGTAACATTCTTAATTATAAATAAGAAGATTTCAACCTTGTTTTCCACCATTGTTAAGCAAGCTGTTCTTTAGACTCATTTTTAGTTGGGGTTTAGAATTCTATAGAATTTTATGCTATCTGTTTAAATGTCTTTAATAGAGGTAATATAGTTTTCGTTTCAAATGTAGATGGTTTGCCCAGTCTCAACTATCTTTTCAATGGTTGCTGCTCTATCAACTTGACTTCTATAGTTGGTTACTGAATAGTCTCCTGACAGAACCATTTGTTTGGAAGTTATAGATCTTGTTACAGAGCTAGTCTAGCTAGATATTAATTTATCCTGAGTGTGGCTTTCTTTAGTGATTCATAATTCTTAATTTTTGTTTCAGCTGGGAAAACTCTTCAGATATTTAACATTGAAATGAAAAGTAAAATGAAGGCCCATACCATGACTGATGATGTCACCTTTTGGAAATGGATCTCTTTGAATACGGTTGCTCTTGTTACGGATAATGCAGTTTACCATTGGAGTATGGAAGGAGAGTCTCAGCCAGTGAAAATGTTTGATCGCCATTCTAGCCTTGCAGGTTGCCAGATTATCAATTATCGTACAGATGCAAAGCAAAAGTGGTTACTTCTGACTGGCATATCTGCACAGGTAACACTTTTTTTCTAGTGTTTAATAAAGGAAGGTCTAGAGAACTAATATGCCCAGAATGCAGTTTATTTTGAAATTAGGTCTTCTGTGCTCAGTTATATAATATCTGACTTATTTGGAAGACCTTTTTTCTTTTTTAAGAAATAGAGAGAGCTGGCGTAATGCCTTTATACTGACATAATTTCAGAGTATGTGCTCCTTCCAAGTGTTTTTAGGTCTTACTTGTAGGTTAAGTGGGCATATTGAGTTCCTGTATGAATGATTTGGAATTTATTATGGACATTTACTGCAGAATGAGTACTCCTACACATATATTTTTTTAAGATAGCATAAATAGATGGTCGTATATGGACCACATTTTAAACATTCATGTTAAGCTTTAATAAGGTAATTTTTGGAGCTAAATTTTAAGTGAAACGGTATCAAATCTACATTGAGAGACTAAAAAAGAATTGTAAATCCTTTTAAAGGTGATAAAGCAATTCTAATTATTTTCACTAGTTGATGAATCTGGGTTATTGGTTCATTGGGTCCCCAAACTTTATTCTCTTTGATCTGTTGTAGCAAAATCGTGTGGTGGGAGCTATGCAGTTGTATTCTGTAGATAGGAAAGTGTCTCAGCCCATTGAAGGACATGCAGCTAGCTTCGCACAATTTAAGATGGAAGGAAATGCAGAAGAATCAACGTTATTTTGTTTTGCAGTACGGGGTCAAGCTGGAGGGAAGGTAAGTTTTGGCTTTGGAAATTATGTTAGAATTTCTTTGTCCTTATGCTACTAATTAGTCATCTAAGTTCAAAATAGTCTTCTTCCTTGTTAATTTGCTTCTAACATTCAGATTTGTGATGACTGTTTAAATTCTGCTTCCAGTGATACTTATCTAAAATAAATAATGTTCTTTAACAGCTTTTTAGTATCAGCTGTAGGACTTTTATTTTGATTGCTTTTATCAAGGCCTTTTATGTTTTTCAGCCTACTGTGCATAAGATTCATTAGGGTTGCTAACGTATACATTTGAGCACCTTATATCTAAAGAGTCTGATTCAATAGAGGGAGCTTATCCTCTGCATTTTAAATATTCTACGTGACTAGGTAGAATGTGGCCTACAATTTGAGTAACACTGCCCTAAGTCAAAGCTTGTTAATCTTGGCTCGACATTGGAATCACCTGGACAAATTGAAGTACTTTGTATGTTATGATTCTTAGTTGCAGACAGTAGAAACAGATCTGGTTGATTCGAGCATAGAAAATTTACTGAGAGGATTATGGGTAGTTTACAATAGCTTGGAATGTTTAGGACCAAGCTTGGAAGATGAGGAATCAGGGAAAATGGGCAGTCACCAGAGCTGCAGCCGAAAGCCCTGCCACAGAACCCTGAGAACTCGGCTGCTACTCTAACTGCAGTGTTGGATGACACAGCACTGCAGCCCTCACTGCCAGACTAGACTCCCCAAAGTCTTCCTGTTTTTCCATGGTAACTATTTGAAAACAATAAGATAGTGATTTTAAACCAAAATGTTTTCATCCAGGTTTTGAGGTCTATGTGATTAGCGTGACCGCTCATTCAGCTTATGCACATACTTTCCTTCTGTGTTAGAGTAGATGTACAGGCTGAAAAGAATTTAACAGTTAGGTCTCTATTTGGGGACCCAAATGCTAAGTTATAATAGAAAACCATGAGAAAGCGCCTTTGTGGGTTATATATTACTATTTTATGCCATTAATTTAAGATAGATTGTGGTGTGATTGTTTCAGCTATTCAACTGACTTTAAAGTTTTTATCTTGAAATAATACACATTCAGAGGAAACTGTAAATACAGTACAAGTGTTCTTTACCTAGTTTCCCTCAACAGTTATGTCTTACATGCTATACATATCCTATATAATAAAAGGATAATATGCAAATTATTATGGCAGAACGACCTAATGGCAGAACGACCCGAATGACGGCTCGAACAGCCACTATGAGGCGCACTGACCACCTCTTGGTCCCTTTCCTTGGCCGGGGGGCTCCAATTGCCAATGGGGTGGGTGGCGGCGGGGGGCAGGGCCAGCTGCCAGGGAAGATGACCCTGATCACAGGCCAGGCCTAGGGACCATATCCATGCACGAATTTCGTGCGTCAGGCCTCTAGTAGTATATAAAGAAACAATAAATTAACATTAGTATAATTTTATAATTCTGTGTCACAAGATACATACTATTCTGGTACCTCAAGGATTTCCCTCATGCTACTTCTTGATAAGTACTCCCACTCCCTTACCATCTCTAACCCTTGACAACCACTAAATTGCTTTACATTTCTATAATTTTGTCATTCAAGATACTGTATAAATAGAATCATATAGTATGTGACCTTTTGAGATTGGCTTTCCACCCCACTCAGCATAATGTCCTTGAGAGTTCTTTTTACTACTATTAACCTACCATGGAAATGTTAATGGTGAATATTAAACCTATTGGAGGACATTTTGATTGTTTCCAGTTTAGAGCAACAAATAAAGCTACTATGATAACTACTAAAGGATCTAAGTTTCTATAAGTTTTCTTTTCTTTTGAACAGTTACATATCATTGAAGTTGGCACACCACCTACAGGGAACCAGCCCTTTCCAAAGAAGGCTGTGGATGTTTTCTTTCCTCCAGAAGCACAAAATGACTTTCCTGTTGCAATGCAGGTATTTTAAACAAAGCAAAGGGACCTTTGAAATCTCTCCTCTTAACAAAATTAATTCAAAAACTATTATTAGTCAGTCAATATGATTTAATTGGAGCTTAAAAGAGTAACTTTTATTTTAAAATAAAGTTTATTAGAGAAACTTGATAAAGTAATACTCTAATGTGTAAACTGGGTTATCCTAAATCATTCAAAATTGTTTTCTTTTTTTTATCTTAGACATCTTATTCATATTCTTATGTTTTATGTAAGACCCTTATTTGTGCCATATTTAAATGTTCTGTAAGAGTGAGGAAACCATTAATATTAGCTTTTAATTTGTAATGTAAATCTCTTGTCAGAGTTCTAAAATTTCACCATCTCTAAAATGGAATTGGTCTAAATTTTCTGTTTGTGGATTCATTATTTTACTTAAGTGTTGATTTTCTTTATACAGATCAGTGAAAAGCATGATGTAGTATTCTTGATTACTAAGTATGGTTATATCCACCTGTATGACCTTGAGACCGGTACGTGCATCTACATGAATAGAATCAGTGGAGAAACAATCTTTGTTACTGCACCTCATGAAGCCACAGCTGGAATAATTGGAGTAAACAGAAAGGGACAAGTAAGGAAACCTTGAGACTTAAATTAAGCTACAAAATAATACTTATTGCCGTTAACATTTTTTTAAGTAAATGGTAACTTTAGATGTCCGAAAATAATATATACCTAAAAATACGAAGCATAGGATACAAAGTCTCTCTCTTTAATCCTGTCTCAAAGAGAAAAACTGGCATATAACCACCTACGATTGTCAAAAGAAGTGACTCTTTTTCAAGAAACTATTAGGGCCACATTTGACAGACTATATACTTTTTATAGGAGTTTTCTTTCTATGACTTCTAAGATAAATCATTAACTACAAGGAAAAGAATTTTTCCTACATCACTATTCCTAACTATTACTAAATATTTAATGTGGGAAGGTGATATGTTACAGTAGCTATTATGGGGTACCTGGCAAGTTATCCAGTTAGATGGGGAAAATATTAGCTGATCTGAGTCTGTCATGATTGGCAAACCTTTTCATACCATTAGCAAGTGATCCCTTTTCTGTATTTTTTTAGTATTTTAATGTAATTAAAATATTCTACCCCAGGAGTATCCTGTTCTCTAAAAGACTATTAGAACTTCGAAAACAATACTATTATTGGTTTTGACTTAGTTTTCCTCCAAATTAGTATTTTTCCCAGGTAGTAAGCAGAGGAAGTTAGTTAGTAGGTTTTTTTCTCCTTTGTTCTGTTAATTTCCAAGAAATGGGGTGTATATGAAGAGGCAAATACTCTGTCCCTACTTGTCCATCCCCTACGTCAACTGTACAACTGCTTTATGTCCCTACAACTGACGTAGCCCTCCTCATAGCACTTACCACAATGAATTACAATTGCTTGCTTAACTGTGTTAGTCACTGTTCTTCATTAGGAAAGGGGCTTTTCTTTGTTTAATCGTATTTCTACACCAGTCCTTGTCTGGCACAAAAGTGACTTTAAAAATTCAGTAGCTTTCATTTATTCAGTTGCATGTGTGTCTCCTGGAAAATATCAAGAATGACTAGCCTTTTGGTGAACTAGGTTAATGACAATTTAATAATCATGAAGTTGATAAGCCAGAGATCTTTTTCTTTCCACTGCTGTGCTGATGTTTTTTGTTTGTTGGTTTTTTTAAATTAAATCTTTATTGTTCAGATTATTACATTTGTATGTGTGCTGCCGAAGCGAGCACCAGATTATTACATTTGCTCCTCTTTTTCCCCCCATAACTCCCCTCCACCCAGTTCCCACCCCACCCTCCTCCCTCACTCCCCACCCACTGTCCTCATCCATAGGTGCACGATTTTTGTCTAGTCTCTTCCCGCATCCCCCTCACCCCTTTCCCCCCCAAGAACAGTCAGTCCACTCCCTTTTTATGCCCCTGATTCTATTATGATCACCAGATTATTTATTCACTTGATTCTTAGATTCACTTGTTGATAGATGCATGTTTGTTGTTCATAATTTGTATCTTTACCTTTTTCTTCTTCTTCCTTTTCTTAAAGGATACCTTTCACCATTTCATATAATACTGGTTTGGTGGTGATGAACTCCTTTAGCTTTTCCTTATCTGTGAAGCTCTTTATCGGACCTTCAATTCTGAATGATAGCTTTGCTGGATAAAGTAATCTTGGTTGTAGGTTCTTGGCATTCATCACTTTGAATATTTCTTGCCACTCCCTTATGGCATGCAAAGTGTCTGTTGAGAAATCAGCTGATAGTCGTATGGGTATTCCCTTGTAGGTAACTGAGTTTCTTTCTCTTGCTGCTTTTAAGATTCTCTCTTTGTCTTTTGCTCTTGGCATTTTAATGATGATGTGTCTTGGTGTGGTCCTCTTTGGATTCCTTTTCTTTGGGGTTCTCTTCGCTTCCTGGCCTTGTAAGTCTATTTCTTTCACCAATT